AGGCAAGGACTAGCTTCTATTAAGTGCACTGGGATGCGGAATGAATAAATATGACTAGAAATAATTCATATTCCTTTCACTTCTACCTAATATCTACTATCTATCTTCTATCTATCTATTTATCTGTCTATCTATCTATCTATCTCCTATCTATATATCTATCATCTGTCTATCTCCTATGTATCATCTGTCATCTTTATTCCAATATTTATTGTGCAACTCTGTATTTGTATAATAACATCCATAGAAATACAAACTCCATGACCAAAATCTCATTATAAAACTTGATCAGATGGAAACTTATGATGAACTACATTCCTTCCTTCCTTAAGACAACTTGATATAAAAGTGTTTATTTCTAAAAGGAAGGATGAGCATCATACATATAGACAGTCCTTGAGAGGTTTCAGCTTTTCACATTAGCCTATTAAATCTTTGCATAAACATACCCAAAATAAAGGATTAACCCTTCCCTCTTCTTATTTACTTGCAACTGTAAGACTTTGGTAAACAGGGATAAGAAGAGTCTCCAAGTTTGAGTGCTACCAATCACTTACCAAATGCTCATGATCCACCCAGCAAGAATGGAAAATTCTGCTTCCTGATCAATAAGGAGAAGAGAGGTAGGAGACCTTGTAACAGGTCCTCAGGTCTTAGCATGACTAGCAACCGCCATGCTAGGGACACTACCTGACCTTAGAACCCTGAGTGTGGGCCCCAGCACCTACCAAAACTAGAACAACAACCTAGTCCACAGAGATGTCCCGAAGTAAGAAGTCCCTAAATATGCTAACCTCTATAGTTCTGTTTCTTGTTGACTGAAGTAGGCCAATCAGGATATGTTGTTTTGTGCATAAAAGACAAAGCTTGGGGCTGCATAGTTTTCACAAGTTCCCCACTCAGCTACTAACCATTACTGAAGACTTTCATTTTAGCTTTAAAAAATGTCTGTCTCTGGTGGGCTTACCACACAGTGTTCTGGAGGACCCATCAAAATCATCAGAGATTGAGAATCTGTAACCCTGGGATCTTAGATACCCTCTAGGGCAATAGTTTGAAAAAATGGACAGTTTCTAGAGAGTGTGAACCCTGAGACATTCCAGGTCCCCATGAACTTCGGTCACCTCTAGTCCTACATCCTGAGAGGCTCCCAGTGCTTTTACCCTAGAACGAGAAATTACAGAAAGTCATCTAAATCTGTCACCTCCAGAGAGAAGGCCGTGTGTGATGCCTTCTGAATTGGATACTACTAAAAGACTGGGCACAGCCCCAATTCCAGTGCCTGGGATCCATGTTACCTCCGATTTAAGTCTGTGTGGTAACCACCCCTGCTTGTCTTTGCCACTTGCCTGTTTATGTGTATCTGTGTATGTTTCTGGCAGTTGTTGTTTGGGGAAACAAATATAAAACATAAGGGAAGTGTTCCTTCCCAAGGTGCTGTTGAAATGTATGTTATAAACTTTTCAAGAACGGTGTGTGAACAAGGGAGGGTGTGGTGCTCAATTGATTACCTGGAAAACTTCAGCACTTCTATGAAATCGATTGGCTCATCTGCTCATCGTTGGAGTTAGGTAGCCAGTGAAGGGTCTCTGAAACCCCAAGATGGTTCAGGGTATCAGGAGTTATTTTTTGTTTTTGTTTTTTGAGACTTTCTCTATGTAGCTTTGCTACCTGTCCTGGAACTAAATCTCCCTCTCTGTTTGATTTTTTTCTTTGAAAGGGCTCCCTGGTGAGGTTTTTTGTTTTGTTTTGTTTCATTTTGTTTTTGTTTCCCCTCACTTTTTATCTTTATTTTAAAAAACAAACTACCTTTTTTCATTCTACCTACCAATCCCAGTTCCCACTTCTTTCCCTCCTCCCATTTCTTCTCCATTTTCACTCACCCCACCCCCCATCTGCTCCTCAGAGAGGGTAAGGAATATTGCTCTGAGAAAGGACCAAGGCCCTCCATAGTATATCCAGGCTGAGCAAGGTGTCCATCCAAAGAGAATGGGTTTCAAAAAGCTAGTACAAGCAGTAGGGACAAATCCTGGTGCCACTACCGGTGGTCCTACAGTCTACCCCAGCCATACAACTGTCATCCACATTTAGAGGGTCTAGCTTGGTTATATGCTGGTTTCTTCCCTATCCAGCCAGAGTTGGTGAGCTCCCATTAGCTCAGGTAAGCTGTTTCAGTGGGTGTATCCATCATGGCCTTGACCTCTTTGCTCATAATCTCACTACTTCCACTCTTCAACTGGACTTTGGGAGCTCAGCCCAGTGCTCTGTTGCAGGTCTCTGCTCCTGTCTCCATCAGTTGCTGGATGTAGGTTCTATGGTGACATTTAAGATATTCATTAGCCTAACTACAGGACAAGACCAGTTCAGGCACCCGCTCCACTATTGCTTAAGGGTCTTAGCTGGAGTCATCCTTGTGTATTCCTGGGAATTTATCTAGTGTCAGGTTTCTTACTAGCCCTATAATGGATCCCTCAATCAAAATATCTCCTTCATTACTCTCATCTCTGTCCTTCCACCATCTTGACTATTCCTTCCCTCAAGTTCTCCTCCCCCTTTGCTCCCCTTCTCCCCTCCCTTCTTCCCCTACTCCCGCACTCCCAATTTTGTCAGGAGATCTTGTGTATTTCTTCTTTCCAGGGGGATCTATTTTTAATCTATATATGTTTGTCCTAGGGTTCATCTTGTTATTTAACTTCTCTAGGGTTGTGGATTGTAAGTTTGTTATCCTTTGCTTTACAGCTAGTATCCACTTATGAGAGAGAACGTGCCATGTTCACCTTTCTGGATCTGGGTTACCTCACTTAGGATGTTTTTTTTTCTAGTTCTATCCACTTGCATGCAAATTTCAAGATGTCAATGTTTTTTACTGCTGAGTAGTACTCCCTTGTGTAAATGTACCACATTTTCATTAGCCATTCTTCTTTGAGGGACATCTAGTTTTTTTTTTTTTCCCAGATTCTGGCTATTACAAATAATGCTGCTATGAACATAGTTGAACAAATTTCCTTGTAGTATGATTATACATCCTTTAGGTATAAGCCTAAGAGTGGTATTGCTGGGTCCTGAGGTAAGTTGTTTCCCAATTTTCTGCTGTACCGCCATACTGATCTCCAGAGTGGTTGTAGAAGTTTGCATTCCCACCAGCAACGGAGGAGTGTTCCCCTCAATCCACATCCTCTCCAGCATAAGCTATCACTGGTGATTTTTTTATCTTAACCATTCTGACTGGTGTATCTGGAATATGGTGGTTAGTGACTCCACACACTCCAACCAGTTTCCCCATATTGACCAGTGGCATGCTCTGCTGCTAGACCTATGCCCCTCCCATTGGGGACCTGAATCCTCTTGGTTTGATGAGGTTACCCAGAGAAACTGAAACCTCTGGCTGTTCTGTCAGTTCCACCTGAGGAAGGATGAAGTTGACTTTCACCCACCATATGCTATAGTGTGACTCCTGGCCACACCCAGGGAGAGGGAAATAGTTCCCTGTCACCACACTGCCAGGGAAAGGTTATTTATTCTACCTCAGGCCACTTATCCCCTCCACAATTATGAAGTGACTGCTGCAGGGGCTCCAGGAAGAATTTCCCTGGGGCAGAGGCAGAGCCCATCCTCCCTCTAAGGGAGGTGCTTCCAATGTGCCCAATATCTGAAGATTTCCCCTCTATCCCTTTTGTGCTTTGTCTGCCTTTCAACCAATGATCTGTGTAATTGTAAATCTCAGAACCCACCCTTCTCTGAACATCCTCAGGCTCTCATTCGTTTCCCCGAGACAGTCCTTTACACCCACCAGATAATCTGGGAAGATTGTCCACAGCTGCTGGTCACCCTCTTCGAGGCTGAAAAGTGGCAAAGGCTCTGGCTTGATTATAGGAAAGCTACCTTCTGGCTGGATGGTGGATTGATACTGGGCAGAAAAGTCCCAATAGAGAGTCTTTTCCCCTCTGCCTGACGTAACTGGAGTTCCCAACACTGACAAGGGTAAGGAGGATATGGACAATTTCACTATGCCCTTTTAGAGGGATAAAGACAGCTGCTAGAAACTCACCGATCTGCCTAAGGTGAGTGAGGTTATACAAGAGCCCCCAAATCTCTCATTGTACTCCTGAGTGCCTGGGTGAGGTTTGCCAGCTGTTTACCCTCACAGACCCACACATGTCAACAAATAGTGAACAACCAATATTACTTTTGTAATGCAGTTAGCCCCAGATATTAGAAACTTCAGAAGTTAGAAGAGTTCAAGAGTATGAATAGATCCTGGTTATTGAAGATTTCTTAAGAAGTTTACAATATATGTAAAGACTTAGAAGAAAAGCAGAACAAAAGATTGACCCAAGCAGTAATAGAAGAAAGACCCAAAGGGAGAACACCCGAAAAAAAAGAACCAGTGTGCTTATTGTAAACACAAAGGACATTAGAAGAATGAATGTCGAAACTGGAAGGAAGAAGGATACTCCATTCTTCAATTGGGTAAGGAGTAACAAGTCCAGGGCTCCATTCCACTAAGCCTCCAGGAGCCCAGAGTAACATTAAAGGTAAGGGATATATTTTGATTAGGGTTTCTATTGCTACAATGAAACACCATAACAAAAAGCAAGTTGGGGAAGAAAGATGTGGTTTGAAAGAAAATGGCCCTCAAAGGGAATGGCACTATTAGGAGGTATGACCTTGTTGCAGGAAGTGTGTCACTGTGGGGTGGGCTTGGTGCTCTCCTATGCTCAAGCTACTTTTCTTGTTGCAGTCTATTTCCTGCTGCCTTCTGATCAAGATGTAGACAGCAGCATGTCTGCCTACACATTACCATGCTCCCTGTCATGATAATGGACTGAACCTCTGAACTTTAAGGGAGCCACCTCAATTAAATGTTTTACTTTATGAGAGTTGCCATGGTCATGGTGCCTCTTCACAGTAATGGAAACTCTAACTAAGACAGAACTTGGTACCAAGTACTAGGGTATTGTTATGATAGGCTTGACCATGTTTTTTTTTTTTTTGGTTTCAATATAAAAATTTATTAAGTCAAAGTATGCAACAAATAAAACCTACAGAAAACAGATTTTCCCATCACAATCTGTTGCTTTACCAAATAATATCTTGAAAACACATTCCTTCAGTCATTATAAAGTTCTTGAAATACAAAAGAAATTAAATCCGTAAGAAAGTCTAGTAGACAGATGTTAGGACTTGCACATTGGTGGTGGTGTTTTCAGTACATCCCACGCCATCCACCTCCACTCATTCCACCTTGCCCATAGTAACCTCCACTGCCTCCACCACCACGACCATAACCTCCCAAGCCATCAGGAGTGCCATATCCTCCACTGTAGTTGTTTCCCATTCCCATTCTCCCAACAGATCCGTATCCTCCTTGATTATCCATTCCATCTCTGCCATAGCCTCCCATTCCAGAACCTCCCATTCCAGAACCTCCTCCAGGGGTGGAATTCAAGAAGAGTTCAATATATCGATGTTGCATGTTGTTTTTATCTTTAGACATGGCAGCCACGGCATCTTCATGTGTCACAAACTCTACATCTGCCTCTCCTGTTGCTCTGCCATCAGCTCCAATGTCGATATGAACTCGTATTGGATTGAGTGGTGAGAAGAAATTAGCAATATCATTTTCGGTTGCACGAAAAGGCAGCCCTCTCATGTGCACAAAATGACCACCATGGAAACCTGAACTGGCATCACCAGCTCCACCGTAGCCATGTCCTCCCATGCCTCTTCCATCTCTCATCCTGTCATCAAAGCCATCATTTCCATAGCCGTAATTATTATAGCCACCATAGTCATCAAAACCTCCATAGCTTCCACGCCCAGCTCCATAATAACCCCCTCTTCCTCCTATTGGTCTATCATATGGTCCCGGCCGCTGTGCCACCCGCGGACGAAGCGGCCGTCCCTGCCCGCCCGCCAGCCGCGATCGTCGGAGTCGGCGTTACTAGCACCCCACAGGCATTTAAATCAAGCGATATTGAAATGGATTGGGTTATGAAACATAATGGTCCAAATGACGCTAGTGATGGGACAGTGCGACTTCGAGGACTGCCATTTGGTTGCAGCAAAGAGGAAATAGTTCAGTTCTTTCAAGGGTTGGAAATCGTGCCAAATGGGATAACATTGACGATGGACTACCAGGGGAGAAGCACAGGGGAGGCCTTCGTGCAGTTTGCTTCAAAGGAGATAGCAGAAAATGCTCTGGGGAAACACAAGGAAAGAATAGGGCACAGGTACATTGAGATCTTCAGGAGTAGCAGGAGTGAAATCAAAGGATTGACCATGTTTTTGTTTGGAGAAATAGGGACTTGGGGAGTTGGGTGAAGAAAACAGTGACATTCTTTAGGCACTGCTTAATTGGCCACACTAGTAGGAGCATTGAAGATAGTGGTGCTGAGTTATTTGAATGGGGGTGGGGAGTTCACTCAAGAGGTTTCAGAGGAGAAGAATTTTAGTATGTTCCCTAGAGATCATTCTTCTGATATTTTGGTAAAAAAAAAAAAAGTGACTATCCTTTGCCCTTGTCCCCAGAATCTGCAGGTTTGGATTGGATTAATTCTATTGGCAGAGGGAATTTCAAAACAGCCTAGTAAAGATTATGTTGTGTGTTTATTAGTGTTAACTCTGGTGAAGATTTATGAAGAAAAGGAGCAAACTGAGCAAATGAAAATATAAAATGTACAGATTGAGAACAGGGGTACTAGGAAGTAGAACAGGACTAAATTCTGTGTTCAAGGAGATAAATGGACTAAGAAATTGAATAAAGGGAGTGGTAGTCTTAGGGCATGATCCCACCCAGCTAAATTTCCAACTTTTAAAAAGGAATTTAAAAAAAAAATAGAGCCAGGTGGTACAAATCTTTACTCCACCACTGGGAAGGAAGAGGCTGATGCATCTCTGAGTTTGAGACTAGTCTGGTGTACAGAGTAAATTCAAGAGCAGTCAAGCTCAGGCAGTAAATGTAACAATCAAAATTAGAAAGCTGGTAAAGATGCAATTGAATGAGAGATCCATGTTCCAGCCCAAACAAACACTAGACTTGGCAGCTTTGGCCTCGTGGTTCCTGCTTTAGAGGTTATGGAATTGGCCTCCACACCTAAGGAAAGCTGCTAAGGCCAGGCATGTGTCAGGGATGTCCCTGAATGGAGGCCTAGAGAGTCCATTGTGTGAAGCTGCAAAGGTGAAGTCTGGATTGTCTTGGAGATTCCAAGATGCTGGAGATGCCAGAGTTGTGAGATACCTGGAAAGGAGAGCTGCTAACAGGAAGTGAACCAGCCCAACAGAGAGAAGTATGTTGTAGTCAACACAGCTGAATAGAGTGAGAGTTCTGAAGAGTGTTTTAGCATTAGGCATGGAGATGAGGAGTTTGGAGTTTTCCCAGCTAGGAGCAGCCTGCTTAGTCCGGACAGAGATGCTGGGACCAGGGACATCTCAGCAGACAGCTGTTCAAGTGGCAACTGAATAGACTGTTTTTTTTTTCCCTTTGGTTGACCTCTTGAACAGTAGACTTGGGACAAGGAACTGTGACCAACCGCTTCTTAGTCATTACCAGACTTCCTCCTCATTGGGAGAGATCTATTATAAAATAAATCTATGTAATGTGGACCTCATGAGGACTATTGTGGCTTGACAAAGTTCTGGTATTTTGACCTTGCAGATCACAATTATCCAGCACCCTTATACCTTCATTTTTAATGATTGTCACTCTGTGCTAAATTCCCTTATGCCTTTCCCCTTGGGAAATTTTGTGTGAGCTTTGATGAAGGATGAAAATATAAAATGGTAGCCACTTTAAACAAAATAATTCTTTGGAAAAATCCTCACTACTGTGAAACCATATAGATAACTCTGCTACTCCCATGTAAGTTAACACCAAGCTGATAAAAAAAAAATTAGATATGTAACATATGCTTGAATAAATAAGATATCTTTGATAATCAAGATTTATAAATTCCTAGGGTCTACTTTGGTTTATAGTAATATTAGTCCAGCCTCATCTTTAGCCAATTTTAAGTTATTTGAATAAATTAAATCATACAAGAAACTACAGTATTTTATAATGGAACATTTGATCCTCCAAGAAAGTCCTTTTCCCAAGGTCAGGCATTTGGACAAAGTCCCCATTCCCTCAGGGACTCAAAGAAAGTTCCTGTTTGCTGAAAAGGGAGGCTTTCTTCCTCTGGCAAGAGGAACCTGGGGTCTCTCTATTAACATATGACTGGTGCCTATTAATCTGTCAAAGTCAATGCCAGCTTCCTCAATCCCTGATCTCAAACTACACCCTGGCTCACAGGCTTTTTTTCCTCCCATTTAATCCTATGTGCAGCTATAGAGCATAAAACATGTAACCTTTTTTTCAATAGTATTATTTTTTGAAAAAATAAATGTGGGTAGCCATCCTGACCACGGTCAGAAAGTATCAGTCCCATGCTCTCTCCCTACTGACTCCACAGCTCTTTGGTACCTGAATCCTGTTGAAGCAGGCATCCGCTATCAGTGGGCCTCCTTGTCTTTTGGGGAAGCCACTGCCCTGAATGCTTTGAATCCTAACCAGCCTCTAGTTCATATTCTTTTGACCTGCCCCATGATGAAGAAATACCCCTCTAGTCACATCTAGGATTCCCAAAAATAATGCTTAAGGTTCAAGATAACTATAGAATTTCAATAGCAATACCTTTGGGGCTGAGGATAACATACTGGGATTGGCCATCTACTGAGTGTCTATTGTTTTTTAATTACAGAGTATTGCTATTCCAGTACAGGTCGAGCAATACCCTATGATCTGGGAAGCCATGCAGGGGCTTGCTAAACATATTAATAAGTTATGGGAAACAGAAATTGGGATCCTCATCTCTTGCCTGTCTCCTTGGAACACATTCCTGTTCCTGGTTCTAAATCCTGGCACTCAAGACTACTTACCAGTGCAGGATCTCAGAGATGTCAACAAAAGCATAGAAACCCCTACAACCTCCTGAGTTCCCTGCCACCAGAGAAATAAGTATGTACAGTTCTGGGCTTAAAAGATGCCTTATTTTGCCACCCCTTGGCACCTATAAGCCAACCAAGTTTTGCGTTTGAATAGATTGATCCTCAGGGAGAATTTAAGGACCAACTTACCCACACTAGGTTGCCACAAGGGTTCAAGGGCTCTCTCAAACTCATTGAAAGGACCTTAAGTGTTTGCCTTTTGACTTCATGGTAGAGGTATCCTGAGAGGACCTTGCTACAGTGTGTGAATGAATTCTTCAAAGTTTTAGAAACTAAGGAGGGATGTGAGAGGGCCATTGGTGTCCTGCTAGAGATGCTACAGGCAGGCCCTATGGTACCAAGTCTCAGCCAAGAACATTGAACTTTGTGAATCCAGTGTCCCCTACTTGGGGTACAACTTGGAAGGAGACGAACAAATGTCCCAGTGCCAAATCTCAGCGATCTTATGGATCTCTACATCAAAAGCAAATATTCAAATGCAGGAAATTCTGGAGCTAGTTAGGTATTGTCACTTGTGGACACCCAGGTTCATGGAGCTAGCCAAGTCATTGCATACTACCACTGATGGCACTCTGTTTCTACAATTGATTGATTCTTTTTTTTTCTTCAGATTTTAAAGACAGGATTTCTCTGTAGCTTTGGAGCCTGTCCTGGAACTCACTCTGTAGACCAGGCTGGGGATCATGATTGGGAAATTGGTAGAACCTGGGAAGTCAGTTTTTATGTGAATGGTTGAGATCCAGGAAACAAATTTACTATCCCAAAACCTTTCCACTTCAGGTTATCCAGCCCATTGACCCAAATATACCCATTTATCACCCCCAGAATATGAGCTCCCCTAAAGGAGCAAGCCCCAAATTCCAGTTTCTCTAGATATTCCTTTGATAACCATGGGGCCAAGATCCAGGAAATAGTAGAGAACAGCCTCTTGGTATTTGGGATGCTAGAAGAGGTACATTATTCATTCTCACAGAGACTTAGATAAAGACTGCTGGCTATTTCTGACCTCAAACCCCCATACTATATTGAAATTGAAATTAATTACATAAGCTTCACTTCCAGTCCTTACAGCTATAAATGGGACCAATATAAGCTCATCCTGGGAGACCTCTGTGAAAAGAATGACTGCCTAATGTCACCAAGAATCCACCAGAAAGTCTCCCCATGCAAACTCCTGTAGCCACACATAACCCTGGAAATGGTGTTCAAGTATACCTCCAGGCCCCACAGACTACCTGGCTTGCTTGCTCTAATGGTTTAACCAATGGTACATCTTCTGAATTGTTTGCACGGAGGGAAACCCCACTGCTTTGCACTTTCTTGTATGTCATACCACAGGTATTTCTCTATAATACAGAAGAGGGAGACCAAATCTAGATTCTGTGCTTCCTCTTGTGTGGTTAACCATCTCCATTCTAATTTCCCTGTTGGTAGGGGCAGGCATAGTGGCCTCTGCTTCTGTTGAAACTCCAGCCCTTATTGTGCTTGACAAAAACTTTCAAAAAGTCACTGCTCAAAGAGACATAGACCCAGGCCATCTGGAAAAACCTATTTCCTGTCCAGAAACCCAGAGAGGCTCCTGAGAGGAGGTTGTTCTTCATAATGGCAGAGGATTAGACCTCTTCTTCCTGAAACAAGGCTGTCTCTGTTTGGCACTGGAGAAACTTGTTGCTTCTGTGCTAACCAGTCGCAGGTAATTATCTGTGGTCAGACATAACATTAAGGAAAGAGGTGCCAAGAACTTGACAACTGGTATCAGCTCTTCTTCTCTTGCTCTCCCTGGTTAACCACTCTTTTTAGGTCCATTGCTGAGCCATTGATCTTTTTGCTTCTAGTCCTCATTATAGGACCCCGCTTGCTCAACTGCCTACTTAGCTATGTAAACAGAGAGCAAA